TTTAATAGTGGTGTTTAGCCTGCATAGCCTGCATATATGACTGTGTTAGGGAGTCGGATCCACTAGAACTGGACTTACAGACAGTTGTGAGCTACCATGTGGTTGACTGGGAATTGAACCTGGGTCCTCTGGAAGAGCAGCCAGTGATCTTAACCACTGAGCCATCTCTCCAGCCCTTGAAATCAATTTTAACCAGCCAGCTGTTGTAACTCAGTCTTTAATCCCAGCACTTAGAAAGAAGAGGCAGGTGGATCTCTGTGAGTTCAAGGCTAGCCTGGTCTACATGCTTTCAGTTAGTCTAGGCTAGAGCTACGCAGTTAGACATTGTCTCAAAAAACAAAACAAAACAAAAACCATTCTCAACAAGCTCATCCAAGAGTGTATAATTAAGAGCTAATTCAGGCTGGGTGATGGTGGTGCACGCCTTTTATCCCAGCACTCGGGAGGCAGAGGCAGGCCATCTCTGAGTTTATGGCCAGCCTGGTCTACAGAGTGAATTTCAGGACAGTCAGGGCTACCCAGAGAAACTCTGTCCCAAAAAAATACAAGCAAATGAACAAAAAGACTAATTAGCTAATTCATAAGACACTCCCCCCAAGACACACACACCAGGGTCTTAGGCTCCAGCGTCTTGAACTCCTAAATTCAAGCAATTGCCCCAGCTCTGCATTTCAGGTAGCTAGGCCTACAAGCGAACACCACTGCATCTGCCAACAGTACCATATTTTAATTAGCACTAGTCTCTGAGAGGCGCACAGAATAAGGGCATCTTTACAGTTGGGAAAGCAGCCGCAGTGTGCTTATCACAAATCTCGTTAAATTGTGCAAATGGAGCCAGGCATGGTGGCACCTGCCTGCAGAGAGAAGGGGATCTCGGGGAGTTCCAGGCCAGCCTGGTCTATACAGTGAGTTCCAGGTCAGCCTTGTCTCAAAAAAATTAAGCAACAACAACAACAACAAAGCCAGTGGAAACTTTTTAAGCAGGCAAATCTGTCCCACTTCGGAGGTGAAAAGCAAAGGCAGCAGGTCCTATATGCGCTTTAAGGCCAATGCTTCCTCAGCCTGGACAGTAGTAGATGGGGCACCACCATCTCCACCTCCTCCTGTTAAGAGGCCTTCCTACATAAGATAGATGGATTCTCGTTACATAAAACATCAAGGTACTGGTCTGACCCCAGGCTAGATCCACTCACCCTCAGGGTACTTCTCTGTCTAAGCGCCCTTACTAGATTTGGAAGCTAGAAAAGAAGCATAGAGCTCCCTAGAGATAGTATCTCGGCTCTCAAAGTCAAGACTTCCAGCTCTTCCCTTAGACAACACTGATCGTGTCTCTGCCAGAGGCTCAGGGTTCTGTGGAGGGAGGCAGGATGCTTCCTCCTGCAGTGCACAAGGTAGGCCAGCCTAGTTGAGGGGAGCCTCTGGCCTCATTGGAAGCAGGAATCCCAAAAGTCAGGAGGCTCACCAGAACCACCTGTCTCTACTTTGAGGGGTGTAGCCCAAAGGCAGCATCCAGCCAGGTTGCTATCCCAGGTCCCTGAAGGCTTGGACAGCACTGCACCAGGCTGCTTGACAGCTTCGCTTCTAGGTTCCTAGATCCAGAGAAGCTAGAGAAGAGGGGGAACACCTTCCACAACAAAAGAAAACTTCTCTGCCTGGATTCGTCACAAGCAATAACACCCTTGGAAATGAAACGAATGTACCAAAGGCAGCCACCTGACTCAAGGCTAAGGTAGGCACAATGTGGCTTTTCTAAATGAGGGTTCTGGTTCAACTGACAGGACAGTTCTCCCCTTTCTTACTTGTAGTTCTCAAGAATCACCATGGGGTGTGCTGGTTCCTGAGATAGGAAGGGGCAGGTCAAGAGAGCTGGGCTCGGCTTCTGCTCTTAGGCACGGGATATTCTCCAACATTTTGACCCAGCAAGTCCTGTCCTATGGTTATATGCCCAAGGCAGGCTGCCTTCCTGGTTCCTGAGCCCTGGAGACCGGCTGAGAATGAACCACTGCACCTGTTGTTCCTTGCTGCCCACTCAAAGAAACTTGCTCTGGTTGTGCAGCAATTTCCTCCTAGGTAAAACCTCCCATCTTAGCGGTGGTGGCGCACGCCTTTAATCCCAGCACTCAGGAATCAGAGACAGGCAGATCTCTGTGAGTTCAAAGCTAGCGTGTTCTATAGAGTGAGTGCCAGGACAGGCTCCAAAGCTACAGGAAAACCCTGTCTCATGGGGAAAAAAATACCTCCCCACACACAGGATATTAAAAGGGGGAGAAACAACGGGATGTTATAAGGGAAGAGGCAGTATTCCATCCTTGAGGCAAGTTCTATAACCTAAGGAAGTAAACAACTCGCATAAATCTAGGAAGTCACTGAAACTAACCAGATTCAGTAGGCTCTTCCCTCCCCAAGGGAACTGCTGAGAGACACTGTCTCAGACCAGCTGAATGGCCTACAAGAGGCAGATCAGCCAAGTACCTGAAAGAAGCTACCTGAGGAGGACACTCTTCAAGGTGTTAAGCTGCCTATGGTTACATAGGGAGCTCTAGGTTTTCAGCTTTCATGGTTGTCACCCAGGCTGGGTGGGCTTTTGGTGTTGCCGTTTTCTTTCAGTCATTTCTGCTCCTGTAATTAACCCTTCACCCAGATTCCTAAAGAAACTGAATAAAACTTACTGGTTCGCTGAGTTAGACTTTGGTGGTATCCGTACTTTAGTTTTTTATTGGTTCCCTATCAGGGTCGAGTAGCGAGCTACTTGCTCATGTTTTGTTGCGGAACATTGGCACACTGGGTGAAGATGCGCTGCCGTGATTGGTGTAATAAGAAGCTGAGTGGTCGACAGCTAGGCAGGAGGTATAGGTGGGATTTCCAGGAAGAGAAAGAACTCTGAGAAGAAAGGAGGAGTCGCCAGGTAGATATGGATAGGAAACAGGAGGTGCACACGATGGAAGAGAGGTAATGCCACGTGGCAGACCTAGATTAATATAAATGGATTAAGTTTTAACATCTAGTTGAGACAAGCGTAAGCTAATGCCCAACCTTTCATAATTGATAAGAAGTCTTCGTATTGTTATTTGGGAGTTGGCAATTCAAAGTTAGTCTGACAAGAGAGCTTGCTACAATGTTTCCCCAGGAGCAGTGTAACATACATGTGTGCATCTTGCGTGTAACTATTCTCTCTCACCAGATTCAGACCAGCTGATAAGCAGAGCACTGTTTGGTGAAGGCCACCCAAAGACATGATTCATGAAATAAATAGCCAGTAAGGTTTACTTGCAATATATAAAAATCCCTACTCTGTAACAGGCACTGTTCAGTGAATGAAATGACAAGTCACTGACCAGGAAAAAAATAGTCACAAAAGAAATGTCCTATGGAAAACTTATCTAAAATAGATATAATAGACTCTTAAATTTCAACAATATGAAAACAACCAGGGAGCCTGGAGAGATGGTTGAGTTTGCCAAGTACTTGCCATGCAAGCCCAAGGACCTGCATTCAGATCCCTAGCACTGGCAGGACAGAAACAGGAGACTCCTGGAGCTTGCCAGCTGGCTAGCCTGGCTGAATCAGTGATGCACAGATGAACACGGCGCATGAGAAAAGATCCTGCATCGCATACCATAAGGGAAACAACAAAGAGATTAGTGGTTTCCACGTCTGTTTGGAAGGGATGAGTAGGCAGAGCAGAGGACCCTTAGGACAACTGATTGAAACCACCTTGAGTGATACTGGAGTAGTGAACACACACACACACACACACACACACACACACCCCGCATGCCCGCCCCGCTCTGAACCCTGGGCAATGGTGAAGAGACACGAGCTCCCCTCTGACAGCAGGGACAGCTGTGCATGGTGAGGGAGCAGGGGTGCATGTGAAATCCATGTCTACCCAAGTCTGCTTCACTCCTACAGCTCTTCACAAACCAAAGGTCTGTTTCTTTCTTTCTTTCTTTGTTTATTTATGGCATCAAGGTCTTTCTACGTAGCGGTGACTGGCTTAGCACTTACTATGAAGATCAGGCTGGCTTAAATTTGCAGCCATCTTCCTGCCTCTGCCTCCCAAGAGTTGGGATTACAGGTGTGTATCATCTTTAAAAGTGAGTCCCCTTCCCCACTAGCCTCCACAGTAAGGAAACTAATGGCCAATCAGAGAGGGAGAAGAGGAAACTGGGGTGCAGCTGAAAGTGTAATGCTTGTTTAGCATGCGTGAGGCCCTGGGCTCTACCCCAGCAGTCAGTAACACATACAAAAGCAGAAAGAAAAGAGCAAGGAAGAAGAATATATGAACAGACATTTCATCAGGAGAATACATACAGAGAGCGAATCTGTACACAAAATGTTTAGTGCCATAAGCCGACAGAGAAAAGCAAATTAATATTAGTGCGTATGGACCAGGCATGGTGGCACATTCCTTTAACCCCAGCACTCATGAGGCAGAGGCTGTGGAGCTCTGTGAGTTCAAGGTCAGCCTGGTCTACATAGTGAATTCTTGGCCAGCAAAGGCTACAAAGTAAGACCCTGTTTCAAAAAAAAAAAACAAAACAAACAAACACCCAAGAGTTGAAATTAAAGAGCTTCAGACTAGCCAAGACAACAAAGTGAGACCCTGTCTCAAAAAAAAAAAAAGAGTAAATAAATGAAGAAATAAAATTAAGGCATGCTATCACTATGTCCCTATTAAAATAGCTAAAATTAAAATAGTGATGACACAGAATATTGGCAAGGATGTGAGGAAACTGGTCCTTCACACACTGCTGCTGGGAATACAAATAATATAGATACTGTGGAGAAAACCTGGCAGTTTACTATTAGACTGATACACTCAGACGCCAGAGAAATGAAAAAATTCCATCCATTACACAAATGGTCACAACAATTTAATTCACAACATTCCCAAGCTGGAAACTATCCAGACACCCTTCAATAACGCATGGCTAAAGAAACTGAACCGTGTCTTGGGTGGTGTGAATGTGCTGTAGCAATAAGAAAGCAAGCCATGTTTGCTTTGGCAGCATATATACTAAAAATGAATAAAAATAATACAAAGATTAGCATGGCATCTGAAAAAGGAAGATATTCCAATTTGTGAAGGGTTTCATATTTAAAAAAAGAAAGAAAATCTCATATGGGCACACGCTATGATTCTATGTTTATAAATTTCTCAGAAGGACAAAAATCAGAGATTAAGGAGAATTGTTTGGATGTCAGTAAGAAGGGTGTTGATACATTGTGGCAGCTTTAAAGTGGAAGCTAGAAGGGTTTCTATGGCAATGAGGATTTTGCAGTGTTGGTATGGGCCTGATGCCCGTGTCAAAGGAGGGACAATGTGCATTCACATACCTGTATGTGCAGGTATACAAACACAAGAACAGCTAACGAGTCTGGAGCTGGCCTTTGAGTAGTCTTAGCATCCTATGTGGTGTTATCATACAAGACATTGGAAAGGGTTAGGGGGCCTTTTCTTACATCACCATTTCCTGTGATTCGATAATTATCTTGAAATAAAAAAGTTTTCTCCACAGAGCAACTTGACAGTGCACTGGATGCAGCCTAAACAATCTGACCAATGTCGCCAAAAATGAACGGAACTTTCTATACACCTACAATATGGACTGCAAAACAAAGATGAAGACTTTCAAACAAGCCAAGGATGGTGGCACACATCTTTAACCCCAGCAGTCTGGAAGCAGAGGCAGGCTGATCTCTGTGAGTTCAAGACCAGCCTGGTCTACATAGAGAAATCCAGAACAGCCAGGGCTACACAGTGCATGAGACTTGGTCAAAAAAAAAAAAAAAAAAAAAACACCACCAACAACAGCAATAAACCCAATAATTTTAAACTATATATATCACAACATTAAGCTTTTAAGAATAATTTACAAATAATAGATACTGTGGTATCTTTCAATTTTACAGATCTTTGGTTTGCATTATTTAATGTTTTATATCAGTGGTTCTCAATCTTCCTAAATGCTTCGATCCTTAAATACAGTGCTTCATGCTGTGGTAAACCCAACCATAAAATTATTTCATCACTACTTCATAACTGTAATTTTGCTACTGTTATGAACTGTAATGTAAATATCAGATATACAGGCTATCTGATGTGCGACCCACAGGTTGAGAACCACTGTTCTACATCTTTTAAGTATCCGCAGGGTAGAGGATATGTTTGTGCTGTACTGAAATAGATACCCAATAGTATCTTGTTTATGATCACTGGACACAGGGACTGCATTCACTTTACAGAGACATTCCTGAAACTTTTACAATAACATACCATGAGTGTATATAATCATATCTCACTTCAAAATTACACAAACACTTGTAAATAAAATGTTAAGAGGCCTTGACCCTCTGCACATGGGTGGCAGTTGTCTAGGTCTATCTGAGGAGCCCCTGGCAGAAGGACCATGACCTATCAATCCTGGGGCATGAGCTAGCTTGTCGGAGCTCATCCCCTATGGTGGGATGCAATACTCAGTCTTAATGCATTGGGGGTGGGGACTTTGGTCCTGCATCAACTTAATGGGCCAGGCTTTGTTGACTCCCTATGGGAGCCCTTACCCTTGGGAGGAGTGGATGGGTGTGCTGTGGGGTAGAGGTGGGGGGCTGGAAAGGGGAGAGGGAGAATTGTGGTTGGAATGTGAAACAAATTTTAAAAAATCATTAAAGAGGGCTGGAGAGATGGCTCAGTGGTTAAGAGCATTGCCTGCTCTTCCAAAGGTCCTGAGTTCAATTCCCAGCAACCGCATAGTGACTCACAACCATCTATAAAAAGATCTGGTGCCCTCTTCTGGCCTGCAGGCATATATGCAGGCAGAACACTGTATACATAATAAATAAATGTCTTTTTTAAAAAATCATTAAAGAAAAAAAGAGGCCTCAAGCCGGAGAGTGACCTGTGGCAATGAACACTTGCAAGTAAAGACGAATGGACTAAAGGGTGAACTGTGCTCAACGGGCCACACTGCAGCTTCCACAGCAAAATTATGATTATCATCATCATTATTATTCCTTCTTCCTTCTTCTTCCTCCCCCTCTTTCTTCCTCCTCCTTCTCCTTGTTTGTTTTTGTTTATTTTGTTTGGCTTTCGTTTGTTCTTTTAAATTTAGTTTTGATTTGGGAGGGGGCAGATGCAAGGGGACAGGAGGCTAAGGAGGACTGGAATGCAAGACGTGAAATCCACAAAATATCAATAAAAGTTTATTTTTAATGTTAAGAAAAACAGAATACCTTACACACTTGGAAATTCTCAAGAACTCTCCTGAGTTTTAATTTCTTATTCTTAGATTCCAAAATTTTGAGCATATATTTATTGGTTGATCTGCACTTGTGGAGGAGTGGGTGCACATGACTGTGGAGGTCAGAGGACAACTTGTGGGAGCCAGTTCTCTCCTTCTGCCATGTAGGTACCGGGGATCAAACTTAAGTTGTCAGGCTTGGTGGAAAACATCTTTAACTGCTGAGCCATCTTGCCAAGCCGAGGCTCTAAAATTTATCAGCTTCTTCCTGATGGACGAGCAGCTCTGGATTTCATCTTACAACTAATATACTCTAGCTGTTGACCCAAGTGTGGTCTCATTCTAATCAACCCCCTACCAAAGCTACCTGATCCCATCCAAGCATTTTTCAGTTTTCCATCAGGTCAGCAAGTTCCCCTGACATCTATTCCAACAACCACTCCAGCAAGCAGGGTGCTGGCATATACTTCTAGCAGCCCCAGAACCCAAAACGAGGGTCCTGTGATGGGGGATGCCTATACAAAGGAGTCTCCTAATGTTTCTGGGGCCCACCATCTCAGTGTTTCTAACACAGCATATACTATTACATTCTCTGTGCCCATGAAGATCTCAGAGCCTGGAATTCCCTTAATGTGGAAGGTTCCCTTAGAGTAGAGCCTCCCCTAGATCAAGTCCACCCAGAGTGTAGAGGGCAGTCCACAGCTCCTGAGGAACTGATAATTTTTACCTTCAGGACCTCTATGTAGCTTACCAATGGCACTGAGGGCATGCTGGAGTTCCAGGGCAAAGGCAGTTAGGGGCACTTCTTCAGACACAGGCATTGCTGCTACCGTGGACAAGTTGCCAGGTGGGTTCCCCAAGTCCCATTTGTTGTTTTCTGTGTAAAGCCCAAGCTGGTGACCTGTAAGCACAGAACCAGGAATCAACTTGGAACGTTAGGCCACCAGTTTCCAAAGTCCCAGATGACACAGGGCGCCACCAAGAAGGATCGGATCTGCTTTCACTCTTGCAATGACTAAAGCAGGCCCTTGGATCAATACCAAATCTAATGTGTTCTAAGTTTTGGCCCAGCATAAATTATCTTGACCCTCCAGAGCTTAGGAATTCAAGGAGCAAGAAAATTTGGAAAACATTTTGTCAGAGGAGAGCCCCCGCCCCAATGGTCTCACTATGTAGCCTGGGCTGGCCGCAGCTCTGCCTCTCTTGATGGGATACATACATGCCTGGAAGGACTCGCGCTTTATAGCTTTTGTATTTTAATCACTTGGGAAACTGGAAACTTAGAAGAGCAACAAAAACACCTTTACCATCTCTTAGCCACATGGATTTTCAAAAACCAAAGGAAGCAGAGAATAAATGAGGAAGGTCATTCTGGGGCAAGGGCAGGAGCATCCTAGGGAGACACCAGAAGGGACCCCTGAAGGAGAAATCGAAGCAAGCAGAGATTTCCTAAGACCAGGATATCCAAAGGTCCCACAGTGCCTCACCCAGACACAAAGAGCCTGAACCTCCTCCCAGGGTCCTACTCAGCTGCAGGGACTAAGGGCCACTCAACTACACAAGTGCAAGACCAAAGACATTTTTGTTTGCTATCCTGTAGCAGAAGATCCTGGTACAAGTTCTCCAGTACAAAGTCTTCTTGAATGAGTCCCTCCTGTGTCCACAAAGGTGGCTAAGCACATCTCATGACAGCTGACAGGCAGGCCCCCACTTGATCAGGTTTCCAGTGGCACCGTTGTGCTATGGGCTGCCTGGCCACTGGTAGCCCACCTTCCTCTACAATGTCCCTCCCACCCCGACCTTTTGTACACTGACACAGACAGACCTATCTTCAGGCCTGGGCCACCTGTCTCCCTTAAGGGTGGTTTCCAAATGCCTGGCATCTTCTCTGCTCCTCACCCTAGGAGCTTCAGGAAACTATCACACATAGTCCCAATTGCCTGGACATTAGACGTCCGATGCAGAGGTACAGGTGGAGCTCCAGGGATATGTGGAGCCCCATTTAGTGACTGGTGGGCACAGAGCCAGGAAAGACCCCTGTTTCCAGATGACACAGGTACAGGATATAAGAGATAGAGTTTAGGAAGGGTTTGCCATTTCAAGCAGACCTAAGAGCACACTCAGGCTGTGACAAGCGTCCGGACACAAGTCTGTAATCTTAGGAGGACACATGCATCTCACCTACACATACAACAGATATTATACATACATCCTCCTACATTATACATAAATCACACATACACCATGCATACAATTCACAGATATCTCACACACATCATATATATACCACGCACACTACAACTTGCATACATACCTCCCAGACACCATGTATATACCACACACTTAACTCATTCATGGCTTCATAATTACTATATGTGTACACATATCTCACATATATATGTCATACACACACATACACAAAGATTTTACTGCTGTATTGTTTAAAATAGTTGGGAAGGCCAGAGATAGTGGCGCACACCTTTAATTACAACACTTGGGAGGCAGAAACAGGAGGATCTCTGTGGGTTTGAGGCCAGCCTGGTCTATATAGTAAACTCCAGGCCAGTCAGATAAAGAATAATACCCTGTCTCAAAAAGCAAAACAGAACAAAAAACACAACAACAACAACAACAACAAAATAAATAAATAAATAATAGAGTTGGGAGAGATGTTTGATAATGGAGAAAACAGCTAAATGAATGACCCTCTTAGCTATCAAAAAATAAAGCACATCTTTAAGCTAGGTGGTACACCTTTAATAATAGCACTCAGGAGTCAGAGGTAGGCGGACCTCTGTAAGTTCCAGGCTAGCCTAGTCTACAGAGCAAATTTCAGGACTGCCAAGACTACACAGAGAAAC